AGTCTACAGATATATAGACTAGAGTCTACAGATATATAGACTAGAGTCTACAGATATATAGACTAGAGTGTGTGTGTGCGTGTGTGTTTCTGTCTTTTGTCACAGGCTGTTAGGGTTGGGCTTCTGAAGTGACCAGTTCACGTCGCCCCGTGTCATCGAGCAGCTCACCGGCCCGGCTGATCCGACTCCTACTCGTCCCTGGACCGTTATCAAAGTTTTCAAACAGACGGAGCTCAGGCAGAATGAAAGAGACAGCGGGGGGTCAGCTTCTTCAGATGTAGGTGAATTTAAAATCTCAGGCCGTGTTTTTAAATGGATCTCGTTCACAGCCCATAATGAGTATCCAGGCACATATGGAGGTTTGTATAAGAATGACCTGTGTGTGTGTACATGGCTTTACTCGGGTTGGTCATGTTCTTTCCACTGGTTCGTGAGCCGACAGGATGCGTGTAGAGCTGCACGCCATCACCATTAATTCAGGTCAGATGTTCACAGAGGTTAGCATGTGCCCTGTGCTGGGGGCATGTTTCTTTGTTAAACACGTTTCATGTACAGAGGACAACAGATGGGAACCTGGCACCGTTACACTACACGTCTGGGCAAACTAATTGCTAAATGGCGGATAGGTCAGGTACAAACCATCGGCAGGATATCGTACTCCTGCAGGAAACTGATTGGAAAGACACATTTCATATAAGGTGGACTGAGAAAGTAACTCCAGGGTTCAGCCTGCATTTTCTGTACCACCAACTTTGTTCACGTCTCAGGTTTCAGAGCAGTTTGGATTCTTTGCTCAACAAATCTGAATTTTTTTCTTTCTTTTTCAAACTTTAGATGTTTTCCTGGAGCCCTTTGAAGTTACAATATTCCTGATGTTGAGGTTCAGTCTCACCTTTTTCTGCTGCAGAGAGAAGCCGAGTCCATCTGTCCAACATACAAACTCTCCAGCTAACCAACCTGACTGTCCAACTGTGTAACAGCTAACTAACCTGACTGTCCAACTGTGTAACAGCTAACCAACCTGACTGTCCAACTGTGTA